TAATTCTTGAGCATCTTTGTTGAGTTTTTTCCTGGTAGTTCTATCTTTTCTTGAGAGAGGAGTATTGAAGTCTCCAACTACTATCGTAGTGTTGTCTATTTCCTTTTTCAGTTTTGTTAATGTTTGTTTCATATATTTTGCAGGTCTTTCATTTGATGCATAGATATTTATTATTGTTATGTCCTCTTGTTGTATTGACCCTTTAATCATTATGTAGTGACCTTCCTCATCCTTTGTGATGTTTTTTCCTTTGAAATTTATTTTATCGGAGATTAATATTGCTACTCCTGCTTTTTTCTGGTTGTCGTTTGCTTGGTATATTTTTTCCCATCCTTTTATTTTTAGTCTTTCTTTATCTTCACATTTTAGGTGTGTCTCTTGTAGACAGCATATTGATGGATTTTGGTTTTTTTATCCAATCTGCTACTCTTTTTCTCTTCAATGGTGCATTCAAGCCATTCACATTCAGTGTGATTTTTGAGATGCAGGGTTTTATTGCTATCATTTTGTTGAATTCTTTTTGGTGTTGTTGCTAGTTACTTTGGTCCATGCTGCTGTCTATGGTAACTCTATAAGAAGGAGAACTCTCAGTGTTTCCTGCAATGCAGGTCTTGTTTTTACAAACTCTCTTAGGTTCTGTTTTTCTGGGAATATCTTGATCTCTTCTTCATATTTGATGGATAATTTTGCTAGGTACAATATTCTTGGTTGACAGTTGCGTTCTTTGAGTGTTTGATATATGTCTTTCCACTCTTTTCTTGCACATATGATTTCTGCTGAGAAATCGGCACTTAATCTTATCTGTTCTCTTTTGTAGGTTATTCTTTGTTTCTCTCTTGCTGTTTTCAGGATTCTCTCCTTATCTTTGGTTCTGGCAAATTTAACTATGATATGCCTTGGTGTTTTTCTTTTGGGGTCTATTCTATATGGTGTTCGCTCAGCTTCTTGAATATATATTATCTCATTCTTCATTATGCCTGGGAAGTTTTCCTCTAGTAATTCTTCCACAATTTTTTCGGTGTCTTTGCTTGCTTCTGCCTGTTCTGGGATTCCAGTGATGAGCGTGTTATTTCTCTTGATGGTGTCCCACATTATTCTTAGATTTTCTTCTTTGTCCTTCCTTTTTGATTCTGTGTTTTGCTCTAGCAGATCAGTGGTGACATTTCTATCTTCTGTTTCACTGGTTCTGTGTTCTATCTCTTCAATTCTATTTATGTGTCCCTCCATCATGTTGACAGCCTCTGAAACATTGGACCTCATATTTTGGATCATGATTTCTTGTTTTTCCAGTGCCTCTAGTGCTTCATTTGTTTTATCTGCATTGTTCTGGATCGTTGGGGTTTTTTG